GAACTCACAGTGGTCACAACAGCAAGTGGAAAATGTATGCAACCTCAAGCCAGACCAAATGCCAGCATTGAGAAAGAAATTCGGTATGAAATTGTCCCCCATACTTGAGGAGTTGATGACAACTGATACTGCTAAGAGAGGGAGAGGGAGTCTACTCTAACAGTGTAGCCCCCAGTAAGCCAACCATACTTTGGTGGAAGACTGTTCTTACAAAAATACTTGAACAGCAAAAATTGGTCTTGATGGGTGTATTAGTTAGATCTTGCAAACTTAACACAAACCAAGGCATATCAGTGAAGAGGGAATCCTAGCTGAGAAAAATGCATTCATAAGTTTGGTCTGTAGGCATGATTGTGCAGTACTGTCTTGATTAATTATTGATGTGAGAGAATCTAGAACACTCTGGGTGGTGCCAACTCTTAGCATGCAGTAAGAAATCCAGGTGAAAAGTCATAAGGATCAAGCCAGGAAACAATTTTCCTTCCAAGGCTTCTGCTTTAGTTCCTGCCTATGGGTTCCTGTACTGAGTTCCTGCTTTTGTTTCCATCATTACTGGAGTGTGACCTGAATTGTAACTGAAATAAACTCTCCTTCCCCCATGTTGCTTTTGGTCCTGGTGTTTTATCACAGCAATAAAAATGTTGTTTATTTTTTAAATAAATAACACAAAGTTGATTGGGAAGGGAAGGGCAATGGATCTGGGAAGAATCGGGCATGAATATGATCAAAACTACTTTGTAAAAAAATCTTAAAGAACTAAATGAATATATATGTATATATATACTTTAAATATATAAATTTTAAATTTAGATATGTACATTTATTGTCACTTACACATGCATGATAAATGTACACATACTTATATGACATATTTGTGGAGATAGATTTACACATTCACTGAAATATACTTTTATTTGTATGTGTGCATACATGTATCAATATCTGCAATATTTTACAAATATATGTACGTAAGTTTCTATATGCATTCATATTCATAGCTAGTCTATATATAAGTTTGTTATCTATGCTAAACATTAATACATGCATCTATATATTAAAAGATTTGACTGTACATATACACACATACACTTAAATAGATATCATATATGTTTCCTAAAGTTTCATAACCTCCCTTATTTCTCCCTGAAGGTCATCTCTCATTGTTCCTCACAATTCTTTATCCCAGCAGCCACTGCAAATTACTGGGAGTATTTTGAATTGACTACTCTCCTTCGTGACTTCAAGAGTTGCTCTGTCAACCTGGAAAACTACTGGGCTCCTTTGTTTAATTGGACTAACTGTCGTTTTGCTTCAAGGTTATTGTTATTTCTTGTTAACTGAATGAGGCTTCATGGAGTGCTACATCTGAACTTAAAGCCATTTACTTGTGCTTCTACAACTCCCTCTCCTTAATATGTATAGGTCCAGCATTCAAAATACATTCACCATAGCTTTTCATTTGGCACTCAGTATATTACAGGTATGGATCAGGTTTTGTTTTACTTCTTCCCTAGGTAAGGTGAGTCTTGCTAGTACCTGAGTAATACCAGATGCAGTCACTGAGCTAAACGAAGTTTTCATTCATACTTGATAAACTGGTCCCATAGGAACTCCCCTGAAAAGATACCTAAGTATCAGACTTGCAGAATCATGGAGGCCAGACTTTCAGGTTAGGAGAGAGGCGTTGGTATCTGGTTTACCCGATCTCCATCTAACTCTGGCATGCTTGGTAGCTTCAGTAAAACTGCTGGAGCATTACCAAAAACTCACACGAGTCAACTGATGCTTTCATAGGGACAACAGAGAGCTAACTTTGGATCATCAGTCTCAGGTAAGTAAGGGAATTTAGTAAGCTTTTGGAATATAGTTCTGTCTTCACAGATAATTTCTCTTCTATTTTTTTCTTCATCCTTGTGCCTCCTGGGAGGAATACTGTCCCTCTAGAAACACATTCCAAAGACTTAGACAGAAGTATATTTAAGAATTAGTAAATCTTGGGATTCAGAAGAATGAAGAGTTAGTGCCTTCTGGGGGAAAAATCTCCCAAATTTTCTTTATGAATCAGTTGAAAATTACTCTGTAACATTAAATCTTAGTGGATACTGAGATTAGTTTGTGGAGTGTGGTTTGATTAGGGCTAAAGAAAATATATTTCTATGGCTCTTATTTCTCAGCCAAATAAAAATGACATCTGTGCCCATCCCATATTCTTCTCAACCAGAATAATGTCTCTATTATATCTAATTGTAATAAACAAAGTCAGAAAGGGATAGAATATGTGAAATGGCCCTGTTGAGTTTTTACAATGTATCTTTAACAACTCAATTTCTAAATAGGCCAGGATAAAAAGGCAAATATTTCATGTTCTCAGTCATACATGGAAATTTAAAAGTTGATTTCCTAGAAGTAGCTACATAAACAGGACTGGAACAAGTGAGTTAATGGACATATTAATATAGAAGGGGAGAATTTTCCAGGAGTCCCACACCTAGAGAAGAAACTACAGATAACTAATTATTCCTGGGAGAAGAAGAATTAGCCTACCCCAGCGATAAGCCCCCTTATTGATTGTTCAATACACAGTGGTCAGACTTGAAACTATATACAGACAAAAAAATATACACACAGAAAAAAAATAACCCAACATGCTGTGTTGATATATATTTTTACATATATACAAATTTCACATACACATATGCATAAATATATACATTTTCTTAATTACAGTAATATGGTTATTATATATTACAATATAATAATGTTACACACATATGAATACACATATACATGTATTGTTATACCCCCACACACATATATACATATATACATGTATTCATATGTGTGGGGGGGGTATAACAATGATAAAGAAATAGAGATTGTTGGCTTGAGCATGGTCATGTGAGAGCATCTTGAGGGAGGAAGGGGAGAAGGAAGTACTATAACTCTATTTCAAATAAACACAGTTTTTAAAAGTTGATATCACTGTAAAGAGCAGAATCATTGTCATTCAAATATAGAAAGGGTAAGGAAATGGAGGTGTAAGAGATATTTATTTTTTTAAAAATGTTTGAAAACCAATTATCTAGGAGAAATAGTCCTAGTAGGAAAACTCTGGTTTAAAACAGTTTGCTCCTGGTGACACAAGCCTTTAATCCTAGGATTTGGTAAGCAGAGGCAGGCAGATATATGGGTTCAAGATAAGCCTAGTTTATAGAGCAAGTTCCAGAACAGTGAGGGCTACAAAGAGGAACTCTGTCTTGAAAATCAAAATAACTAAATAACTAAATAAAAACAATTTACAGTATGTTTTTAAAAGAACTGGAAGAGATCAGCAATAGTTTCTAACTTGAATAGTTTACATATTGAAATATGCTGCAGCACAAGAAATGTACAGTTATCACATTTCAATTAGCAAATGTTAAAGGAAATTAAAATTGTGCTTTCTAAATAAAACATTAAATTTCCCTTGGAAACATTTTAATTCACAGCAACTGTAAATTACCTGCACAATACTTGCACAGGGTTAGTGTTACTTACTATTTGTCATTGTGGAAACAGGAGAAATTCACAAGACCCCATCCTACTTTGAGGCTTTATAGGAATTTAATAGTTTCTGAGGAGGGAAAGATAAACTTTTTCAGTGGTGTAGCCACTGGTGATCCATGTTCCTGTAAACAAATCTTTACCATGGTCCTATAAAATATCCTAATTAAACTCAAATTATTAACAAACAAATTAAAAACACATGAAAGTATAAGGGAAAGTAGTTGGAAAGAATACTATTATCAGGAATATGAGGGCATAAGAGAGGGCAGTGGAGGTGAATATAAAGTATATACATGTATGAAAATGGCATAATGACATGAGTTATGTATAAAATAGAAAAGAAAAGGGATGGAAATATGACTGAGTAATTAAAAGTACTTTTTGCTCCTGAGAGGACCCTGGTTTAGTTCTGCCATCCATATGATAATTCACAACTGTGTTTTTCTCCAGTTCCAGGAGATCCAACAACCTCTTCTGACTTCCATGGGGACCAGGAATGTAAGTGGTCCATACATATATGAAGATAACACACACAAAAAATGAAATAATTTTATAAAAAGATTGTAAAACTTATTTGATATATGATATATATACATGAAAACATTTTATTTTGTTCATTCAAAATTCAAGAAGGATATATTATAAGCATTTTGATATTCTTAAAATAAAGAACCTATCAGATGAAGGTATAGGTTAGAGTTATTTTAACTCTACACTCAATTTCTCATTTCTCTATAATCCTAGTATGCGGCCTGATGTGTGTATGATAGAAATAAAAAATCTATCACATTTGACTGCTGGATCAAAGGCCAAAATACTAAGTATCTGATAAAAATTCTCATTTTAATATGACAATTTCTTTTGCACTTTAAACTCTTTACTAGTCATGAGGTCTCATAAATAAGTCTCTCATTTTGAGTTCTCCATAAGAATAAAACTCATAATAATAAGTACAAGAAAGACAGTCATTTCATCTACTAAAATATCAACATAATTATTTTCATAATTGTAAGGATAAATCTGTTTCATAACTTTACATGTAATTAAATACAGCTGAATGTGACAGACACTTGCACTACAAGACCTTTGAAACTTGGCTGTTTGGCAGTTTTATAACCTTGTCTGGAGAGAAAAGTGACATAATAAGGTTTCTACAATCAGAAGACAAATATCAGACCTGAGAGAATGTAATTCTCTAATGTGGAAGAAACATCTGAATCTAGTCATTACATGGAATGTTCCTAAAACTAGAATTGCCAGATTTAGCAAATACAAATATCAGGTTGATAAATTTCATGAGGCAAATGAGTGTAATAAAGTTATTCATTGATGGAAATTGAGGCCTAATGATAACTCTGCTTAGAAGCCAGTTTTGTAGAAAAGTATGGATGAATTTGATTTCTGCAACTAGTTGCTTGTGTTTTCACTGGTCAATAACTTGTGTCTCATTACAGGTGTCATGGGAGCTTTTGAAGTACTTCTTGTACCTTCTTCAGGTAGTAGTACTGAGTTCAGGTATGACTCTCACTTTCCTTTATGATTCTTAGCAATGTCCAGTATGCCCCAAAAAGCAAGGTACAGTACAAAGGACAGGGTATTTAAATCGTTGTCCCTAAAGTCTGAATGTAGCAATGATGTGAGGACAGTCACAAGAGTTTCCAGCTTAGAGGAGCAAATAATTTTGTCTAATCAGCAAATAGTCTTTCCTTGGGTTTGTTTCAGCTTCCAGGAAGAAAGCACAATGAAAGAGATATAGCACTTGCTTTGAGAACTCAGTATTTGTACTGAATGCACAGGACTTGCATATCACTTTTACACTGAGGAGTAGGTATAGGCTGTAGATACACATTAAAATCCGTCTGAGTCAAGAATACAACAGAGAGCAAAGATGAGGGAAGGTAAAATGGGCTAGGATAATGAGATTTTTGACTTTGTAGGGACATCTATGCAAAGCACAAATGAATACAGGTTACTTGAAAACATCTAAAAGAAAAGACTTAGAAAACAAATGATATGTAAGTTGTAGAATATTGTATCAAAAACTCATTGTCCAGTGATAAATTCTCAAGGATGCACATTTACTTGGTTTCCGTACTGATTAGACTCATTCCTGGCACTGGAAGCGTCATTTGGTAATGAGAAATATTCAGTTGTGGCTTTGTCTCCCCCATTACTTGGTGATTTTATGTGGATTACCTTCATATATGTATGAAGCAATTTTAGTATCCTACTACTGTATTTGGTTTCCATGTGACCCTTCAAATCAGCCTTAGTTTTAGCTGCCGCTGGGCCCCCTCTTCACTTTCCTTCTCTTTTTGATCCTCCCATTATATGCCCTGTCCATACATAGCTACATAAATTATTTTTCCCTTTCAAGGAGGTCCATCCCTTTCCTAACCCCTTACTCTATACCTAATCTCTGTGGGTATATGATTGTAGCTTTCATATTGAAGATGTAAAAGGTAGCATCTACATAAAAGTGAATACATACCATGCTTGTCTTTCTGGGTCTGGATTACCTCACTCTGAATCTCTCTCTCTCTCTCTCTCTCTCTCTCTCTCTCTCTCTCTCTCTCTCTTTTGTAGCTCCATTCATTTACCTGTGAATTTCATTTCATCTTTTTAATAGCTGAGTAATAATATTCCATCCTATAGATGTACAACATTTTCTTTATCCATTCATTCATTGAAAAACATATAGGGCCAGGCAGTGTTGGCTCACACTTTTAATCCCAGCACTCGGGAGGGAGAGGCAGGTGGATCTCTGTGAGTTCGAGGAGAGCTTGGTCTCCAAAGCGAGTTCCAGAAAAGGTGCAAAGCTACACAGAGAAACCCTGTCTCAAAAGCCAAAAAAGAGAAAGAAAGAAAGAGAGAGAGAGAGAGAGAGAGAGAGAGAGAGAGAGAGAGAGAGAGAGAGAGAGAGAGAAAGAAAGAAAGAAGTAGGTTGTTTCCAATTTC